TGGATAGGCCATGCATTTCCACACCTTATACCTTTACGTATGCTGCTCTCTCTGCTTGGAATTCCCTCCTCATCTCCCTCCTCCCTTTCACCTTTCTTTTACTTTTCCTTCTTTTACTTTTCCTTGAACTAAGTGACACTTTGTTCAAGTGTCACTTTCTTTTCTTTTTCAACATTTATTTATTTTCCTTTTTTGTGTGTGTGGCTGCATCGTGTCTTAGTTGCGGCACACGGGATCTTTGTTGAGGCATACGGAATCTTTTCATTATGGCCCTCAGTCTGCTCGGGTTTCTCTCTAGTTGCGGCTGTCGGGCTTCTCTCCAGTTTTGGCAAGTGGGTTTTCTCTTCTCTAGTTGTGCTGTGCGGGCTCCAAAGAGAGTGTGCTCTGTAGTTTGTGCCATGCGAGCTCAACAGTTGTGGCACGTGGGCTTAGTTGCCCTGCAGCATGTGGGATCTTAGTTCCCTGAACAGGGACGGAACCTACATCCCCCGCATTGGAAGGTGGATTCCCTACCACTGGACCACCAGGGAAGTCCCCCTCAAGTGTCACTTTGTTAGGGAAGCTTTCCCTGACCTCCTATCCCAGACTGGGTAAGGCACTCCTTGTCTGTATTCTCCCACCACCCTTCTGCTTACTTTATCATATGTAGCTCTAGCCCCACTAAAAACTTTTTTCCTTAAAGTAACACATGTTCGTTTTGAAACGAATAACAGATGCAAGAGAGAGTGCCATAATTCCATCAGCAACTTAATATTTTAGTAAAGTTCCTTCTTTAAAGTTTTTAAAATTGAAATATAGTTGATTTACAATGTTGTGTTAATTTCTGCTGTACAGCAAAGTGATTCAGTTATAGAGACATACATTCCTTTTTTTTCATTCTTTCTTTTTTTAATTGAAATTTTTAAAAAAATGTTTTTTAAAGGTTTGGAAGTCCAGCTTCCAGTTGCATGTTTATGAACATCCTGAAAAGGTTCTTGGGTAGGTCTCCCACCCATGCGTTGAAGAACCTGGCTAAGAATAGTGACCCTGAGGAGAGCAGACTGGGGCGCAGGCGCTCGGCCTAGCTCCGTCCAGTTCTGCCATCCATGAATTCACACCCATTCAGTGCTGGGGACACTGCTGCAAGCCACACGCAGTGCCCCTGTGTTTCCCCCCCCTCCCCAGGGTCCCTGGCATCTGTCGCGCACATTCGTTCAGTGCCATTAGCTTCTCTCCAAGGACAACCTGGGGGTGGCTCCCTGTAGCGCCTGCTCAGCCCGAGGCTCCTGGGACTGGGGCCAATAAAAGAGGCCTTTTCAAAATGGCCTCGCAGCATCCTTTCCAGACCCAAGCGGCTTCTTCTTTATTTTCTAATCCCTGGTCTCTGAGCTTTAAGCTACCGGCGATTTCCTCAGAATTCAACGGCTCATCCCCACGTTTCCCTCGGGAAGGCGATCACCGCAGTCTCTCGGGAAACACGACCCGCCCAGCCTTTGTTGTATCAAATGCTGCACGAGGAGCCATATTTGCTTTCAGCAAACGGCGGACCAGGTCGCCGGAGCCGGAAGAGGGGCCGACCCGCGACGGGCCGTGGGCCCCACCCGGCCTGCATTCGGTCTCTTCCTAAGCTTTGAGGAAGAGAAATTGAGCCCTTTCCCAGCCCGACCTCTGACTCACTCGGCCTCCTCGGGCCCACGTTCACCCTCCAGGTTCCCGATTTGCATCACGAAGTAATCACCTCGGGGTGTGGCAACTGCGGCTCTACCGCTCTGATTTTTAACATGCCCTTGGCCAAGAGTCTCAGGGTGCCTTCTGGGACCTCGCAATTGCCCTGACGCCCCCGGCGCCAGGGGCAGTTTCCTGTCGGTTTCAAGACCTAGGACGCCACCGGGGTCAGGGCTCCGAACTGAGCTTCCTGCCCCCGCTCAGGTTTTCTCTCCAACCCCATGAAACGAGCCCCACGTTCCACGGAACAAGCTGCACCCTCCAGGCCACCCAGACCCCGCACCGCCACCCCCACCCCTCCTTCCCCACCCAACCCCAGCGGGGCGGAGCCGCGCGTCCACAGGAAGGGGCGGGGCTCAGCTAGGCGGGCGGGCGGCGTGATTGGCCTCGGTGGGCCTGACGCCCATTCCCGCTATAAGAGCCGGGCAAGAGTCACCTGCGCCACAGTCCTCGCGGAGAGTCGCCGCGGTTTCTTGCTTCAACAGTGCTTGGACGGAACCCGGCGCTCGTCCCCCGCTCCGGCCGGCCGCTCAGAGCCAGCCCTCGCCACCACCTCACGGCGCCCTCCGATCGCCCCAAGGTCCCCGCCGCCGTTACAGCGCCGCGCAGCCACCGCCACCGTTTCACCTCAGCCGCCCGCCATGACGACCGCGTCCCCCTCGCAGGTGCGCCAGAACTACCACCAGGACTCGGAGGCCGCCATCAACCGCCAGATCAACCTGGAGCTCTACGCCTCCTACGTCTACCTGTCCATGGTGAGCGCGGGCGGGCCCACGGGGCACGGGCGCGGCCTCCTTGGCTGCAGGGCGGGGGTGTGGCTACCGGGAGGGCCCTCCCGCCTCCCGCCTCCCGCCTCCCGCCTCCCGCCTCCCGCCTCCCGCCTCCGTGCGCCCTTCTGCAAAATGAAGGGTGCTCGGGGTCCTCTAGGACTCCTGCGCAGAAATTCTGAGCAGTTGTCCCCTGGGAGTGTTGCCTCGCGGGCCAGGGCCGCCTCTGCGCACCCCAGTTTATTTAAAGAGAGCTGAGTTTCCTCCCGGGGTTGCCACACTTGCCACCAGTACGACCCTGCAGTTAGGAAGGTGGATTTTCGCATTTCCATCCCTTCTGCATTCGATCACGTGATGGGGGCGGTGCTAAGGAGGTCCGGCTCCCATCCCCCTGAGTCAGGCGGAGCCTGCTGGGTAATGGTGTCCAACTGTGGGGGCTGGTGCGAAGTGGTTTATTTCTCGTGGGCCGAACAGCCGCCTCCACCTCTCCGCTCTGTTTATCTCGAAGTCCCGCTTGAATTGAAGCATATCTCTAGAAATCTCCCTTTCAGTCTCACCGAGTTGTCTGCCACCCGTATTCTTTATCTTTTTTGTGTCTGAGGGTTGTGGCGTAATTAAATCTTTAGTTCTTGGATATAGTCCACCAACAGTTACGGGGCCTGAAAATTTTCCATGCAGTAATCGGTGGAATCAGTTTTCCAAAATCCTGGTTTTAATCGGTGTGGTAGGAGTTTTAGTTATAATTGTTTTATTACGTTTTGCAAATCATCCAAGAATAAACGTGTTCCGGATGGGTTTGGAATACGCCTGGATTTCTATGACTGTCACTCCATTTCAGGAACAACTGAATACAGCAGGGGTGTAAAAGGGACTAAAATTTTTGCTTTCTACTGATAACATGTTTACGTGGTAAACAAGGTAACAACTGTTACCTTGCCTAGTGGGTTAATTTTACACATCCATCAGCCTGCTGCAAGCTGGCAGCTCATGTTTTTTGTTTTTGTTTTGCTTTTTTTGCGGTACGCGGGCCTCACTGTTGTGGCCTCTCCCACTGCGGAGCACAGGCTCCGGACGCGCAGGCTCAGCGGCCATGGCTCACGGGCCCAGCCGCTCCGCGGCATGTGGGATCTTCCCGGACCGGAGCACGAACCCGTGTCCCCTGCATCGGCAGGCGGACTCTCAACCACTGCGCCACCAGGGAAGCCCGCAGCTCATGTTTTAACGTGGATTACCCAGGGAGGAGGGGGAGAAGGCACTACTAACAGTGCAGGGTAAATACTCCAACATCTCTTCAACCAGATTTCACAGGGGCTGTAAGAACTTTACTGTGCACTTAAACAGATGCTTAAGATGTTCCATGGTGGAGGCAATTCCCATGATATTCTAACGGTTCCTTGTAGTAAACTTTCAGTTTCAAGGACCAAGTTTCATTTTTGTGTTTCAGAGTAAAAACTAATTACTGTCGTGTTCAATCCGGGAACACACCTTGCTCTAGTCTTCCTGTGCTCAGACCCTTTCTTGCTGGGCTTTGAGAAGGAAGCCTAGACTAGCCGACTGCCTTTCTTTGGGAATCCCTAACATGTTCATGTACTGTTTTCAGTCGTACTATTTTGACCGCGATGATGTGGCTTTGAAGAACTTTGCCAAATACTTTCTTCACCAATCTTCTGAGGAGAGGGAACATGCTGAGAAACTGATGAAGCTGCAGAACCAACGGGGTGGCCGAATCTTCCTTCAGGATATCAAGGTGAACTGAAGATCCTAGGGTCGGCATGCCTCATCTGTCTAGCAGTCCTCTGACGTCAGAAATCACTGAGCTCAGCAGTTGCCCTTATCAGATGAGGATACTTTGGGTTTTTGTCTTTTGCGCTTTTTCGGGCCTACCGTCTAAGCTAAAGTTGGCAGACGGTAATGGGCAAGGATATTAAATGGGAAGCGGTTGTCAGGGGGAACTTGGCTGTTCCTTTTGCCAAGCGCGGTTGTTACACATTAGATGCTTGCTGATTTGTGGTTTAAGTGGTAGAGGTTGCAGATGCACTGACTTAACCTCCTCTCATTCAGAAACCAGACCGTGATGACTGGGAGAATGGGCTGAATGCAATGGAATGTGCGCTACACTTGGAAAAAAGTGTGAATCAGTCACTACTGGAACTGCACAAACTGGCCACTGAGAAAAATGACCCCCATGTGAGTATTGGCAACCTGGGAGTAAATGGAGGAAATCATTTGTCTTAGGGGCTGGGGAAGCTTCCCAATAACTTTTTTCCTTGTTCTCTTTTCTAGTTGTGTGACTTCCTTGAGACGCATTATCTGAATGAGCAGGTGAAATCCATTAAAGAATTGGGTGACCACGTGACCAACTTGCGCACGATGGGGGCCCCCGAATCTGGCATGGCACAATATCTCTTTGACAAGCACACCCTTGGAAACAGTGATAATGAGAGCTAAGCCTTAGGCTGGCTTCCCGTAGCCACAGGGGTGACCTCCCTGGTCACCAAGGCAGTGCATGCATGTTTGGGTTACCTTACCTTTTCTGTAAGTTGTACCAAAATATCTACAAGTCCTTTCCTTAGTACTATTCCTTCAAATAAAGTAATTTGGTACCCAGCTGTTGTCTTTGAATTCTCGGGGTGGGCTAGGAGTGTATCCAGGCCATCTTTATTAAACTTGTAAGTGCCACCATGGCTCAGTCACACTCACCAAAGTGAACCGCTTAGGAGGATCTGTATTTACGTACGAAATTCCTTAGTTTGCGAAAGATACCAAGGCTTGGGTGTTTTGAATTCAGACAGGACTTAAGGATTCCTGATTCTGAATTAGGTGTTTTATACGTTTCCAGCAGTTCTGGCTTTCACAATTTATATGTACGGAAAGCATTTTGAGGCTTAAAGTAGACTTGAAGCTACTGATTCTTGTTCTTCATTAAGGTAACCATTTAATTCAGGCTGTCGTAGGGATATGTTCTTCAGTGTGGACAGCTATATGGCTATGACTGGATCAGTGTCCTGCTGGTGTACACGCAGGTAGGACCAGGCCGGTGAAGCATCCCCCTTGGGAAGCAGGCTAGGAACGTGCTTCATCCCTAGTGAGAATTTGAGGAAAGTTTACATGAGTATGGAAAGACCTTCATTTCAATAGGAAAATAGCTGCAGTAGGAGGGAAGAGGTTGAGACATCTTGAATATTAACCAGTGAGTAGTGTTAGAAGACTGGGGAGCCATCTGGGTCCTTGCTAACCAACTACATTAACATTGTTTCCTAAACCAGCCACAGTGATTTGTAAGTTTCCAGCTAGCCCTGAGAAGTATGACAGGTGGTAGGCCTTTTCAGCCTTTTCAGTTTTCAATACAAAGCTAGGTATTCTGACCTCAGAATAACTGCTTGAGAATAATAAGAAATGAGAAGTTACACTTCCCTTTCACATCGTGATGGGGGGCTGGGGTGGGGGGCTGGGTCTAATTGGGTGAGTGAACATCTGGGGAATCTGGAATAAAGGCAAACATCTGGTGGTACCGTGACAACTTTAGGTTGACCTCAAAAATGCATGAAGAGCTCATTTAAGTTCAGAAGTCTTGGTGAGGTCCCCAAAGCAGTAAGATGCCCCAAGGGACCTGGATTGTCCCCACCTCATCTGCCAGTTCCCAGGAGTGTGGCACCCTTCCCAGGAGGGCTTCAGAGCCACCACTGGTTATGGGGGAGGGCTCATGCGACCTCCCAGCTAAGCCTGGCCAGTAAGTCGAGTTCTTGGGCTACAGTCTAGAGCCCCGAGTTCTGCCTGTGTTTCTGTGTCTGCCACCCCTGCTTAAGGTGAGCTGGGCCCACTGGTATCGTCAGCCCATGTAAGCCTGGCCTAGTGGCCCTTTGGCGTTACTCTTGTCGGTGCAAACCTCGTCTTCCTATCCCTGGGCCCCAGAGAAGTCTTGGTGAGTCAGGCTCTTGGGTGAAATAAGCGAAAGTCGCCAACACTTCCCTAGAGCCCCTGCTGTGGCGGCCAGGTGTGTGCCCCAAGCCAGTGCTGGGCATGGCCTGGCAGCCATAGAACCATAGGAAAACTGGGAGTAGGGTGGGCTTCAGAGCAGGGGAAGCTGGTGGGGACCACCCCTGGTGGGCTGGGGGGTTCAGTGACCCTGGTGTGGGTAGAAGACAGACCTGTTGTTTTCCAAGGCCCAATAGGGATCGCCACGATCTTTGAGTATAGTGTGTATGTTGCTTGTCGACTGTCCCAAATGTGGTTCTCTGAGATGTTCAGGGGCCTCTGACATGTCTGTTAGGTTAAACTCAACAGTTTTCCTCCTCATGTGACTCACTTCCGGGTGCTCCGTTGAGGCCCCAGCACTCTCTGGGAGCAATTCAAAGCTCTTCTTGGACCTGGGAGTTGGAGGCTGAAGGCTTTGGTCTTTGACGGTGTCATCCATGCCTGAGACTTTGCGAAGACTTGAGGGTGCTGACTGTCCAGGTGGGAAGACCATAGGGGTGTGGCTGAGGGGTGTCTGGGGGGCACTGTGGTAGCCTGACCTCCCGTATAGCACGGCGGACTTGAAGGCATCCTCCCCTTTCCAGGCCTTGACGTCTTCCTGATCACTGGTGTCCTGGCCGTCTCCCCCGAGGTTCTTGGGCTGGCCCTCGTGGGAAAGGACTTCTGTCTTCGGCCACAGTAGTTTGGTCTTTGAGTTTGTCCTGGGGGGCTGGCGGTCGTGGGATTGCAGCCCTCGGAAGCGGCCAGCGATGCCAGTGTGAGCACTTTCCTCCTCCGGATCTGGCTGGAACTCCAAATCCTCCTTATCCAGACTGGAAGGAAACAGGAGACTCGGGGGTCAGTGGGCGGACAACGGCCTGAAGCCTGACTTGACTTCTCCCTTACCCTCTCTTCTCCCTCTGGCCCAAGGCCCAGGACACAGTCTTCCTTACCTCAGCTTTGACTCGCCTCTCTGCTGATCCATCTTGTACCTCTCAATGAATCCCTCCTGGCCGAGCTCGCCTCACTGTTCTGTGGCTCCCTCTTGCCCATGTTAACATCCAAACTCCCTAGCCTGGTATTTCAGGGCTTCCTCTTCAGCACCCACATTTTCCCTTTGAAACCCCTCACTCCAGGCTGTCTGAACGGCTCTTCCCCAGGTATGCATGGTCACGTGAGGCCCAGGAGTGACTGAGTGAGCCAGGGGTTTGTGGTTCCCGCTGGGGAGCAGTATCCCCCCAGAGAGAAGTCTGGCTTCCTGGGAGCCTAAAGCCTTTACTCTGCAAGAGAAAGCCTACCCACCTGTGAATGTGGCCATCTTTGCCCATGTCCAAATTCTCCCCATGCTTCAAGGCCCAGCTCCAGGTCCAGCTGGAGGCCAGCTCTCAGGCAGCCAAAGGTGATCTCTGTTCTATACTCTGTCCCTTGCCCAGGCATCCGGTACTTTGTACCTTGTATCCAGAGTCTGGGCCCTGGGTTTGAACTCCCTCACTAAATCGTGTGTTTCTTGGAGGCAAGGTCTATGTGTTATTATTCTCTGTTATCCTCCTTCCCCAGCAGCTGGGCTACCAACCATGGAAAACTCAGAGGCGACCTCCAGCAATGTTTCTGACCTAAGCAAGCCTCCATCCTTGATCATTTGATCTCTTATCCAAACCTTCCTCACACCAACTAGAGACTCTAGCTAATTCTAATTACAGCTGAATAGGATATTCGGTTCTTAAAAAGAGAACAGCGCTTTTAATACTGTGGAAGAACACCTTGATGGGATAGACCCCGAGATGCAGCAAACACTCTCCGAAGTCCTCTCCACTCTGTCATCCTAGGGAGAGAGAGCTGTCTGGGGCGCCTCTTCAGCCGGCCATGGCCCAGCTACAGCTCAAAAGGGATTCTAACCAAATCAGGGAAAGAGGACCCATGTGGGGGAAAATGTGGCTGCTGTGGGCTGACCTGAGGCCCGTACTCTGTAGCAAGAAGTCTGCTCCGAAGGTCCCTGTGATGACCCAGCCTCTTGCTCGCTCCCTTGCCCAGAGAGCCCCACTCCCACTCCCCATGCCAACACCCTGGCTTATCAGGAAACATAGCTCTGAACCAGAGTCAGGAACCAGGCCCTGACATCCCAGATGCATCACTAATCACTGACTGCCCTTGAGTAAGTCCCTTCTCTCTCTAAGCCTCAGTTTTCAACTCTGGATAAGGGGTGGGGCTTAGATTGGAGACTACCTAAGAGCCCTTATAGCTTTAAGAGTCCTTACACAGCACAAGGTAAGGGTTAAGGGTGTGGAGTTGGACCCAGACATACCTGGCCCACCTGTGCTGCTTGCTAGCTATGTGACCTTGGGTTGGGCAACTGACTTAACCTCTCTGAACCTGGTCTTAATCATCTGAAAACTGGAGAAAACAAACCAAGTTTATTGGGGGGGGGGAATAGCTAATATATGTAAAGAGCTTAGTACAACGCCCAGCACTCAATAGGAACCCAATATGCATTAACTAATATATTCTAAGCTCTCAGGCCCTCGCACTTGGGGTTTTCTACCCACCGAAGTGGTTCCCTGGCACTTCCCACCTGATGTTGAAGGTGGAGCCGAAAAAGGAGGGCCGACGAGACTGGGCAGAAGCGGCTGTGTAGGGGGGATGTGGTTCTGGCTCATTCCAGTACATATCTCGCTCCATCGGTGGCAGGTCCTGGTGCATCTCATCTACAGCCAACAGGGACACCTGGTCATCGTGGACAGAAGGAGAAGTCCAACAGGTCAGCCCAAGCAGGACCATGAATTTGCCAGGTGACTTGGAGAGGTCACTGCTCTCTCTCTGGGCCTCAAGTTTCCCTTCCTGTGAAATGGAGAGACTGATGCAGCCTGTAGCCTCAATAGTTAGGCTGAGAATCCTGTGAGTAAATGGTTGGGCAATTCACTGTGAGGCCTCCCTACAGAACTGTGGGCCCCCCCACCCCGGGTCCAGTTTGGGGAGGGACTATGGGGCAGGCTCTCTTCCTCCCGTCATACCTGCAAACTCCTGTCGACAATCCAGTTGGTCTCAAAGTCATCATCATCCTCTCCGAACGGGTTGATGAGCTGCTCTGCCACCTTGAGGGTAGGTGAGGCTCTGGAAATCCTCAGGTGGAACCCCTTGCAGCCTTGCTCCCACCCTTAAACCTTGGCTCCTGCCATGTCCACCTCTCCACCCCCCTCAGTGATGCCCTTCTCGCCTGACCACTGTCTCCAAAGCCACTATGTAGGGCCCCTCCTCTCCTAACTGGCCATGACTCCCTGGGCCACAGCTGGCCTTGTCCTGGGGAGGCTTACCTTCAGCCAGCCAGCATAGAAGAAGAACTGCAGGAATGTGAAGAGGGGCACAACGAGGTCCATCTCGTGGCCGGGGTAGGCCTTGGCTGGGTTCAGAAACTGCCGTCCCACCAGGCAAGCCAGGAAGAAGCTGTACACCGCCACGGTCACCACCTGGGAGGCAGAGGCGGCGTCGGCAGAGATGGGCTGCGTGGGGACCGCGCGATCAGGAAGCTCCCCAGGCTCTGTGGTCTCCCCTTTAGAATGGGGATGATCACACTGCCTCCACCACCTGGACCAGGCAGGGACCTGGACTCTTTGAACTTGGCACTAGAGACAACCTGCAAAGTCCAGACCTGACTCCCCAGGGTGAGCCTCTTCTTCAGCCTCTGAGTGAGCCCTTCCCATCATAGGCTGCTTCCCGGGTCCTCCTCAGTTTCCCAAAGGGGCAGCTTCACCAGCCTAGTCCTCACCTGAGTGTACACCAGTGGGATACTGATCCAGTCGTAGGCATACAGCTGTCCACACTGAGTACGCAAGGTGTTCATTTCCTAGGGGGGCAGGAGGGAAGGTTGGGCCTTTGACCATCACCTGCTCTCCCAGGCTCACCCCCCAGCTCTTCCGCAGATACCAGGGTCTCGTGCTCATGGTCCAGCCCTGGCTGTGTGGTCATGGACAGCTCACTCAACCTCTCTGTGCCTCAGCCTCCTCAATATCAAAAAGGAACCAGGATCTCAGAGGTTCACTTTAGAGAGGGGAGGGGAGGGGAAATTGGAAAGGGGCCACCTTGGGCTACGGAATCCTGTTGGAAAAGATCCTACAGTCCCAAGGTAGGCTCTGGGAAGACCCTCAGAGGCTCAAAGTTCCTCTTTGCAGAAAACCTGTTCCACGTGGGGCGTGACCCTCCCCGCGCTGCAGCAGCCCCATGTGTGTAGCGGGCTCACGTTGAGCAGACTCTGGAGCAGGACAGGGTCCCGGATTCGACCTCCAATCCAGGCCTTCGTTGACAGGTTGGCAAACCACACCCAGGGCATCCAGAATGAGTTGTGTGGCAAGCTCAGTTTTTGTAAGTGCTTGTGTTCCGAGGGGGTCATAAAGCCTGCGGGGTAGAGTGGAGAAGACAGTGGGTAGGGGAACCTGCAGAAGGGGTGGCTGGCCAGGCCCTGCTGGGTGGGACCCAGAGTTCAAACCAAGTCCCTGCTGAGCCCATAGGGACCTCAGAGCTCCTTTGCGATCCTCTTTCTTTCAACAAATTATCACTGCGTCGTATCTACTATGTGCTGCTCTGGGCTGAGTACGTGAGAGGGATCTGTCTTATTAACCAGGATCAGGTCAGGCAAGGCCAGAGAGTGAGACTGCTGACGTACAGACTGGAAACCGGAAAACAGGAAGGGGAAGGGCAGTTCCCAGTTCCCAAAGCCCCACTCTGGCCCTCAACCCTCACTCTTCCCTCATCCCTCAAGAGGCCTTAGCCCTATCTCAAAGCCCTATCCTCCTAGAGTCGGTTCCTGGCCTCTCCCCACCTTTAGACCCCTGACTTCGCCCCGCCCAATTCAGGTCCCCGCCCCCCACCCCCACCCCGCCATCCCAGGTCTCGACCCCACTCCGCTCCTGGTCCCACCCAATCCTCAGCCCTGGGGCCTCTGATTCCACCCATCTGCAGCTCCGGCCCCGCCCTTGTCAGCCTCTGGCTCCGCCCACTGCTTCGCCAGGCCCCGCCCACCTGCTTTCACCAGGTGTTGGGGACTGGGAAAGCGTTTGTAGACCGCAGCACTGACGCTACGCAGGATGAGCACGTTGCCCAGGTTGGCGTAGCGCATGAGCGTGCGCCGCAGCAGCCGGCCCTGCTCGTCCTTGCCCTCGACGAAGCACGACACCAGGTTCATGAGGCGGTCGGGCCATGGCAGGTTCTCGTATTGGTTCCACCAGCGGGTCACGACCAGTGTCACGTAGAATCCTGGGCGGGAGAGGGGCGGGGGCGCGAGGGGCGAAGGCCCACGCTGCGGCTAGAGCCCAGCGAGGGCGACGCCTCGGTTTCTCCATCTTTCTAATGGGGCTGGGCCCAGCACCAACCCTCCTGGAGGGCGCTCGGGAAGGGGAGACCATCAGAGCTTCGCGTGAAGGCACGAGAGACTTGAGTTCTCTCTCTGGCCGCGCTTGCTTTCCCAGAAATCCGCCAGATACCTCCCCTCCTGCGCAAGGCTCCAGAGACTACTGTAATGTCGGCGCTGCCCTCAGAAAGTGGGGTCTTAGCAGAAACTAACACAGCAATGTAAAGCAATTATACTCCAATAAAGATGTTTAAAATAATAATAATAATAAAATTAAAAAAAAGAAAGTGGGGTCTTGAGTGCTAACAGCAGGACAGCCTTCCTAATGTCTAACTTCAGTCCCTCTGGCTGCAGGCTCCCCGTTGCCCTGAACCACCGAGAGGCGCTGACATGCCACTGGCCTTCCCCAGCTAGCTCTTCATGATCTGCCTGTCTGGAGCCTGGAGCAGCCACTGGGACCCCAACACGCGGAAGGGGGAGCTCACCCAGCACGAAGGAAATGGGGATGAGCTGGATGTAGCTGTCGCAATATAGAGTCAGCTTCTCAAAAATCACCTGCTGATCGTCCGTGAGGGCCATCCTGGGGGAGGCGGGGGGTGGGGGGGAAGATGTGTAGATACTGGGAGGGGATGGCGGAGACCGGTCCCAGGTCCAGCCAGGCCCGGGGTAGGAGAGTGGCAGCCTCACCTCCCTATCCCTTTCACTGGCCTGCCTGGGGCCCCTCCTCTGGCCTGAGCCAGGTCCCCCTCTTTCTTCCGCCACCCTGAAACCCCAGTGGGGCCCTCTGCTCCATGCCTGGAGGAGAAACCCTCAGGAGGTTTTCTATAAGGTGGAGGAAGGAAGGTCCTGCTGAAGGGCTTTAGGCACCACTGACCTTTTTAAAGGATCCAAAAGACAGTTGTTTGAAAGCAGGTTGAAATGAGTGTTTGGTCTTTAAAAAAAAATATCTGGTAGGGAGGGATGAATCGGCAGAGCACAGAGCAATGAAATTGTTCTGTACGACACTGTAACGGTGGATACAAGTCATTATACATTTGTCCAACCACATAGACTGTACAACACCAAGGGTGAACCCTAAGGTGAACTATGGACTTCGGGTGACAATGATGTGTCCGTGTGTGTGGGTTCATCTGTCATCACAAATGTCCCACACTGGGGTGGGATGTTGATAATGGGGGAGGGCTGAGTGGGTGGGGCAGGAGGGGTGGGGTATATGGGAACTCTCTGTACCTTCTGCCCAGTTAAGCTACGAACCTAAAACTGCTCTAAAAAATAAAGTCTTAATTTTTTTTAAGTATATTGACACCCTAGTAACAACTAAAGAAAATGAACATGCTTTGTTATTAGGATTATCATTATGAACTCAAGAGGTTTATGTGTTTGATATTTGTCAATGCATTGCCATCATTAATGCTTTTTCCATTAAAAATGCTATCATGGGCTTCCTTGGTGGCGCAGTGGTTGAGAGTCCGCCTGCCGATGCAGGGGACGCAGGTTCGTGCCCCGGTCTGGGAAGATCCCACATGCCGCGGAGCGGCTGGGCCCGTGAGCCATGGCCGCTGAGCCTGCGCGTCCAGAGCCTGTGCTCTGCAACGGGAGAGGCCACAACGGTGAGAGGCCCGCGTACCGCAAAAAAAAAAAAAAAAATGCTATCATATATTCTGTGGTTTTAGCTGTCTTTTATTGTTTAAATACACATTTTTATTGGGAAAAAAAAAGTATGATATGGGCCTGTGAGACTATGTGGTATTCAGGGAAACAGGCTGACTGAGGGGGACTAGGTAAGGCCTGGGTTCCAATGCCCCTCCCTCGATTTGAGGAAAGGGTGTTTGAGATGCCCCGACCTACACTGAGCTGCCCCCCAAGGCTGCCTCCTTTTCTCTCCTCCCCAGCCCCCAGGCCTCAGGCCCCACGGTTTGACCACAAGCCCAGCTCAGCCTTATCCGTCTCTGTGCATTGGCCGCCTAGATGGCTGGGAGGCACCCAGGAGCTCCAAGCCCTGGCTTGTCCCCCCCGTACCTGTAAATGAAGCGGATGATGTAGTAGCAGATGAGGAAAATGAGGAACTCGCCGTAGAGCAGCTTGTAGATGCTGCCTCGCCAGCACAGAAGCAGGCGGGAGAAGGAACCTAAACGGGCATTAGCCACTTGGCTCGAGTAGGTGACGGTCATGGCCAGGCACTGAGCTGCAGCAGGTGGGCTTGGGTACTGGTGAACAGACAGAGAGGGATACTGAGGGGGGTGCCAGGAAGGAGTAGGGACCTCTTCAGAATCTGTCCAGGACACGGGAGTGACCTTATCCAGGACCCTTCCCTTCTCTGGGCCTCAGCTCTCCCATCTGGACACTGGGAGGGGGGCGGTGAGGTGACCTCCAAGAATCCAGGAAAGTGAGCTCAGGGACCGTCCATAGCCTTGGCACAGAAGACACAGAGAGGTCTGTGCCCTTAAATTGTACCACAAAGGCAACAACAGAAATGTCCACATGCTGGGCTCCTTCCTGAGTTAGGAGCCCATCATGTTCAGTAGCTCCCCCAGCTCCATCAAGCACCCTGGAGTGAGAACTGGTAAGGGGCGTGGTCAGCCTTGGCCACCACCCTGTTCCCCGTGCCCAGGACAGAGCCTGGCTGGTGGAGATGTTTACTGAATGGTGGCCCCAGGGCCTTTTCACATGCTGATCCTCCTTCCTGGGGGATGCTCGTCCTAATCTAACTGTATGGCTCACTCCCACTTCAGATCACCTCCTCAGAAAGGATACCCCCAGCCACCCTACCTGGAAATAACATCCTAGTACCACTGGCCCTCTCTTCCCCTCGCCTTGCTCCATTTTTCTACACACCACTTATCATGTTATAACTGCCATTATATTTTGCATGCTACCTGCGTGTTTACTGCCTATTCCCTCCTGGGAATGGAGCTCCTATTGTGTACTCATAGGTGGTGCTCAATAAAAATTGACTGAAGCAATGTTTGGCACCCCATCCTCCCCCTACCCGCTCTGATGCAGCCACACTGGCTGTCTCTGTGCCTGGTGTTCCCTAAGTTCATTTCTACCTCAGGGCCTTTGCACAGACACACAGGTGCCCGCACACCTGCACGTGTGCTGCCTGTGTGTATCCATCATGTGCACATGTACCGTTTATCTACCCCAAAGGCTCTCAATGTCCCAGCCCAGCCTTCTGGGGTAACCCTTACTCACAGTTGGGGCTCCAGGCTGGTCAGGCGATCCCACAAAAGGTCTGGCCACAGGACTGGTGGGACTCTCTGGGGTCCTCTGGCCAGTGCCCCTGCCCACTTAGGGGTTGGCACTGCCCACGTGTGTGCTAAGTGGTCACTTGACTCCCTAAGCCAGGGCCTCCACAAAGGAACCCTTGTCTTGGCCCCCTTCTCGTAATCTGCCCATTAAGCAGCAGGCAGCACAGTCTGGCCTCTAATTCCTTCCGGGGGTGAGGGGCATTGAGCTGAGACCAGGGCTGAGATGGGGGGCAACCCCCCTCCACCGTGGGCCCTGACTACCCTGCCATTTCCTCTGGGCCCTAGACTCCGGAGACTGAGGGATCTGTTTCTGACCCCTGAGGTCTTGCAGGGAGAGCTGTGGGGAGGAGGGGCCAGGGCCTTGGACCTCACCTCCTGTGCCAGGAGCCATCCAGAGAGGGGAACCTCCGCCCAGGCCCTGTGGGCTTTGGCAGCACTCTGGGCACCCAAAAGAACATTGGACCACAGGCAGAAGTCCTGGCTTCTAGTCCTGGCTCTGCCACCTGGTGAAGTGACCCTGCGTGGGCCTCTTCTCCTCTCTGTGCCTCAGTGTCCCTCTGTGAAAAGCATAGCGTTGCTTTAGAATTCCATCACCTCATTAAGATGACAGAATTCAGCATATACTCGTGAGGAGCTCTGATTGGCTGCTGGTGACATTATAGGTTATTCGGGCTGTGATTGGCTGGCAGGATCCAGTGAGGTTGGTTTATAGTTATGGAAGGAGAAGGGGGGCAAGGGGGCTGCTGCGTGGGGGCCGGGCCTGGTGTGGGATGACACAGCAGTGTTTCTGCATTTCCCAACTAGCCTGTGCAATAGGGAAGTATGTGCCCAGGTCCCCAAGGACAGCTGGTTGATATCTCAACAGTGGGTTTCATACATTTTAATACATCAGTCCATATGTGAGAACCCTCCCCTAAGTCGCTAGAAGTGATGGGGGTCTCGGATGTATTTCCTCTTGTATTAAGTGAAAGCTTGAAGCAGCAGTGGCTCTTGGTCTTCAGTGGCTGTAAGAAGAGCCTGGAATATTTGTTAAACATGCAGCTTCTCAGGATCTTTCTCCAGAGTCTGATTCTGAGACCTGAGGGATGCTGCATTTCTCACAAGCACTGTGGAGATTATAATGCCAGTGGTCTCTGAGCCACACTTCCGCAGCCCTGATTTACAATGTGACCTTGAGCCTTACCATAAATCCGCTCCTTCCCTCCTCCCTCCCTCTCTCCTTCCCTCTCCCCTTTCCTACCTGTCCCCACACCCCCCACCCCATACTCCTCATGGTTAACAGTGCTGAGATTGCAGGCGATTTTTGTGCACAGTATTTTGCCTTTATAATTCTCTGTCTGGAAAAAAAATTATTTGACAACAACCTTGGGTACTTTTCTTATCACAGCAAACAATCACACCATTATTGTTATGAGGGAGTCTCTTCAGAGATCAGGGACCATCTTTTAGGAGTATTTGCTGCATCCCTGCTGCCTGTGCTGTGGGAGACATATTCCCCACAACTGTCCTTAACTGAACTGGGGAAAGGGGCAGGTTCACTTGAGCCTCAGTCTCCTAATCTGTGAAATGGGAGAATAACACCTACCTCAGCAGCTGGGTGAGAATGACGGACGGGAAACATTTTAGTCAACTCTCCAAACCAGAGAGTTCTCGTGCCTGTTCACTCTTCCTGGGGAACATCTACAAACCCCTGGTGCCTCTGCCCCACCCTCCAGAGTCAATTGGTCTGGGTGGGGCCCAGTGGTTGGTGTTTTTTCAAGTTCCCCAGGTGAGTCTAGTTGACGGTGTAGGTTGAAGATCGCTGCTGTGAGGGAATTTCTCCCTTCCTTGTATTCCCTCTTCCCCCACCCCACCCCAGCGCATATCAACGCTCAAGAGAGAGCTTTCCATTTACCAGATGATTAATAAGTATATTTTATTTTATTGTATTTTTTTAAAATTTATTTTATTTATTTTTACTTTTTTGGTTGCACTGGGTCTTCGTTGCAGCGCACGGGCTTTCTCTAGTTGCAGCAAGTGGGGTCTACTCTTTGTTGCGGTGCGCAGGTTTCTCATTGCGGTGACTTCTCCTGTTGTGGAGCACGGGCTCTAGGCGTGCGGGCTCAGTAGTTGTGGCGCACGGGCTTAATTGCTCTGCGGCATGTGGGATCTTCCCAGACCAGGGCTCGAACCCGTGTCCCCTGCATTGGCAGGCGGATTCTTAACCACTGCGCCACCAGGGAAGCCCAATAAGTATACTTTAAAATTAAAATTGAAACATGTGCCCAGCACCAAACCCGGCATGAAGATGTTCAATTAGGTGGAATAAATGAACCACCTGCCTTTGTGGAGTCAGGTTCCTGCCTCCCCTGTGGTGGCCACTGGAGGGCGCCCTTGGCCAGCTGGCTTTGTCCTGGAAAGCCTGGTCCACTGGTCAGGGCCTGGGTGGACAGTGGAACTGGCACTGGATGGCACCTTCATCTCCTTGAGCCTGACAAGCAGCTATAGAGAGGGAGTTGGGAGACACTGGAGTCCTCCCTCCCTTTTCCTGAACCACAGGTTCCTTGGCAATTCCCCCAAATCCCAGCAGGACCAGCTGACTGTGCTACCCCAGCCCCCTTCCCTCCCAGATGCCCCAGGATATCCCCAGAGACACCCCATGAGCAGCTGCTCCTGGCCACACCCCACTGCTAAGACAGGCACACCCCAGGCATGCCACTGTCTTTCCCACTGGGTCTTGGCCGTGAAAATGTCCCCAGCCAGTCAGGCATGGCTCAGGCACACAGAAAGGCCACAGCAAGCACTGATTGACTCAAGCCATCTCGGACAAAGGCCCTAGGATTGACCCCTGCAAGGATGGGGCCCAACCCCATCAGTGTCGGTCTCTTCTGCTTTCCATTCCGCAAAGTAGTCAGTCAACAAACTATTTCCAGCAACAGAACTGAGCCTAATCTGATTCCTGCCTCCAAGAATTCACGCTTAATGAAGCAAGTCAGACAGAGAAAGACAAATACCATATGATATCACTTATATGTGGAGTCTAAAAAAAAGGCTACAAAGAACTTATGTACAAAACAGAAATAGTGACAGGTGTACAAAACAAACTTATGGCTACCAAGGGGGAAAGGGTGGGGAGGGATAAACTGGGAGATTAGGATTGACATATATATATAACTAGATATAAAATAGATCACTAATAAGAACCTACTGTATAGCACAGGGAACTCTACTCAGTACTCTGTAATGACCTATATGGGAAAAGAATCTAAAAAAGAGTGGATATATGTATATATATATAACTGATTCACTTTGCTGTACAGCAGAAACTAACACAACATTGTAAATCAACTATACTCCAACAAAAATTAATTAAAAATTAAAAAATAGGGCTTCCCTGGCGGTGCAGTGGTTGGGAGTCCGCCTGCCAATGCAGGGGACGCGGGTTCTTGCCCGGTCTGGGAAGATCCCACATGCCGCGGAGCGGCTGGGCCCGTGAGCCATGGCCGCTGAGCCTGCGTGTCCGGAGCCTGTGCTCCGCAACGGGAGAGGCCGCAACAGTGAGAGGCCCGTGTACCGCAAAAAAAAAAAAAAAAAAAAAAAAATTAAAAAATAAAAGAACTCATGGTTAAGTAAAAACCAGGAAAACACTTAAATAACTAACACAGAGAGGCAAGGCCTAATATCTGTGCCAAGTACACAGAGGTCAGGGAAAGTTTTTCAGAGATGGGAGCATTTAAGTTGGGTCATGAAGCATGAGTAGGAGTTTGAGTTGAGAAGGATGGAAGAGCACTACACATCAGGGGTACAGCCCATGAAAAGTCACAGAGGCATTACTGAGGGACAGTTAAGTATGGCATTATTATCCACATTTTATAGAGGAGGACACTGAAGTTCAAAGCCCACATTTTTTTTTTTTTTTTGACCTTGGCCGTACGGCTTGTGGGATCTTAGTTCCCG